TCTTTCCCTGGGAAGTGTGGATCTGGGAAGGGGTCATGAATCCTAGCCCTCATCATGAATATTATGGACATAAGTAGTGAGGGCTGTTAGGGAGAGGGCAAGAGCAGGTGTCTGTACAATATGCATATAAGCTCTTATGGACTGAGGTGTGAAAAACTATGCTGTGATACCGGTGTTTAACCCTATAGAAGATACCTCTGTTTTGCAGAATAAATAACTTATAACTGCTGTCATTCTCACCTGCATGGCTCTGTTTTCTTTTTAAAGGAAATTTTAGTGCTAGTGGAAAGAAGCTGCTGGTGGGACAGCCCTAGAGACTGCCACCTTCTTTTTCCACAGCACAGATAGAGCACAATCAGTAGCTTGTAAGCTTCTGCCTGTAAAAGTGGGTCTGACCTTTTTGGAAGAGGACCTTCCTTTTGTAAGAAAAGGGGATTTTTAGTCACCTGTGGTTCTTCAACTTTCTGCAGTGAGGGCCTTGAATGGTGCTTGACTAGTACTGCTGACTGTGATATGGACACTTCCACTAGGAAGCTAGACTTGTAGTTTATTTTAAGTGGACCACAAACCAGTTATTGGAAGCAAATGACCTTTAGTCAGTTTTGATCTAAGATACACTGATAACCTCAAAGTCTCTTTAACTTCCTCTTGCAGTCCCTGTCCCTCCTATCTTGCAGTTTATGACTTTGCTCAAATCTAAATCTAGATCCTGAGAGAAGGTCTAGTCCATAGGCTGCACGACATTCCCCACACACCCCTGCAGACTCATAAATCAGAGAACCACAGTCCCAGAAGGCAAATGGCACAATGAATTTGAACTAGTGTCTCCCAAACGTTTTTTTATGGCTATGGTGAGTGGTCTACAGATCATTCCAGGTCCCTCCCCTTTTCAGCTCACTTAAATGATAAGGGCATAGGGTGATCTGTGAGAAGTCTGGAGGACTGGCATTATCAACCCAAAAATTTTGAGGCCCACTGACTAGTTAATGTTGGTGCTTCAATGAAGGGAGACGTGACCTTTTCACTTCTTAGGAGACTTTTCTTTCATATGACCCCCATAGCATACCATGTGCTTTTCAGAATTTTTTTCTTTTAAAGTTGTGCCCCAGAAATGTTGCAGTATATGTTTAGGCACGGTTTAGCAGAACAAGTTGTTGATGACAAACAGCAGGAGGGGGCTGCAGGTTAGGTAAATCCAAGTTGATAGCATAAGACTTTTTTGTGGCTTCCTAGTAAGTTGCCATATGCTGACAGTTAAAGTGTGTATTACCCTATTGTTCCAGCTGTAATTAGAACTTGCATATATGGTAAGTGGGACCCACATTTTCTGGTTCAGTTTTGGGGGGAATTTTTTTTTCCTTCAAATGTAAGCCAGTGATGACATGTGCAAAGTCCTTGAACTGTTGTTGCCCTTACAAAATCCCACAGGGGAATTGTATAACTAAGGAAAGGATCCAAAGTGTCAAATGGACTCAAAATACTCAAATAAAAATAATGTTGCCCTAGCCTCACGTAAAATCCCATATCAGGATATATCAAGACAAATAGTATTAGGTAAATGAAAACTGTTTACAACATCAAACAAGGACAGGCCTTTATTAAGTGAGATTTGAATTGCCATTGTGCGTTCAAACTTGGTTCACCTGTCGAGCCAAAATCATGGATCCAAACAGCTCTGGATTTAGTAATTCAAAATCCAGATTTTTCCCAACTAGGGAAGGAGACAATGGGTGTTTATTTTCAAACCATTAACTGCAGGTGTCAGCTCAGATTTGACTCCTCTTAGGCGCTTGAGAAAAGTACATTCAGCTAATGTGCATTTTAGAAGAATGCAGCGTATTGTCTTTTTTGTTTAACCTTGGACGTTTTTTAATTTAGAGCTAGAAATTTTCAGGATCATTGGTTTTTTCTAAGTAGTTAAATACCCAGTCCATTGTTTAATAAAGCAAAACCACACATACATTTAAAACCTATTTTAATTTTTTTTTTTTTAAATAGTCTTCTGAAGTGTATCCAACTCTGCATGGCTTCCTGTCAGCTCCCCTTTGGGGATGTCTCTTGGTTCTGTGGCTCTAGTGGTGTCCTGCCCAGGGCTAGAAAGCCTCATATTAAACAAATTCATCAGGCTTCTGATCCTCCCACTTATTGTTGAAAGTTTAGTGCCTGCTTCCCACCTCAGTGCAGGTCTCTGGTAACTGGAAGTTGGTGGCAGTCTGGGTCCCCCAGCCATTGTGGTACTTCCCTGCGTGAGCTGAGCCTGTCATCTGACTACCACTGTGATGACTGGAACATGGCCCTGCACATTGCCCTTATGAGCCAGCCTGTGTGATGCTTAAGGGTGCTATGCCGGATTTTCTGCATCCCTATATTCATATGGGATGCAGGTAATATGTTGGCCCCATGTATAAATCAACTGTGGTTTTATTTTTTTTTTCTTTTTGGGGAGGGGTACAACAGGGAGGAGGAAGACAGGTTGATTTATACTCAGAACAGTGTGGTAGTTGCAGAATGGAGCTAAGCAGAGGGAAAGGAGGTGCAGGCATGGGACCAGAGGCAGGATGTGGTTAAGGGTAGAATGCACTCAGCTAAACCAGGCAGCAGAACGTGAAGGGCAGCTGACCACCTTATTGGATGCAATTAATAGTTCCTGTTCAATAAGATCTGCTGGTGCTGGGAAACATGGAAGGATCTTTTCCTGGTTGCTGGGGTCTGCTGCGGCCACCTACCATCCTTCTAGGGCAGCTCCAGGGGGCTGCCTGGGTCTGTTTCCTTAGCTCCGCGTTCTCTGGTGGCTCAGTGGGAAATTAGAAATGGCAACAGAAGGAGAAGGAAGATGACATGGAAGATGTGGGTATCCAGGAACACAGATAAGAAGTGTGCCCTGCCTGCTCATTTCATCCCCACAGGTACCACGTATCAGACATGAGGCAATGTAGCCACCTTTAGAGCACCCTTGGGTGGGCACCAGTAGGTGCGTGCAGGGCCATTCATATGCATCTGCATGGCCTCATTTCTGGGACTTGGTGTGTAGAGCAGGAATGGGCTGGGTGTGCTTCCCCATGGTGTGCCTGTGCCAAGCCTGACAGGAGACAATGGAAACAAACCCTAAAGCCCTGGAGAGCTTGAATATTGGAGCTTAATCTGCACTACCAGACAGTAGGCATGGATCTACTTTTGGTTCAAAGCCAGCTAGGGTGGGCAGGGCTAGGGCTTAGCAGGGTGTGTTGCGGGCAGGACTGATGTGCAGAGGCAGGTCTCTGTGTGTGTGAGGGCAATTTGCATGAGCGCAGAAATGGAAGAGGGTGTGTGTGGGTAGAGGAAGGATGAAACAGCAGTGAACGCTGCAGGGCAAGACCAGAGCATACCAATAAGTGCGTGGGCAAGACCAAAGTAGCAAGGATTGCTGCACTTGCTCTGAGAAGTGCCAGAGAAACATATGGGTGGTTGCCCATATGAGCTAATTGCAGGTACTGTTGGTTTGGCCTTACTTCTCTTGGATTAGTGCTGACTGTGTGTGATTGCTTAATCCCTTGATAAAGTATTGTAGAAAAGTTCAGTTCTTTGCCATCTTGGATTCTTGGGAAGACTGAGGGTGCTGGGTGTGTTTGAGCGTGCTGGGACAGGCACCCTTTGTTAAACTTTACAGACCTGACAAGGAAGCAGCTTACAGAGGGTTTCTTTTTAAAAGAAACAGAACAGTCTGATGACCGGAAAGACTTGGCCTTTTGCCTAGACTAGGCCAGGGTTGGAAGTCCCCTCCACACTGCAGTATAAGTTTTCCCCTATGCTGCCCTTTGTTCACTGTCCATCTCTTCAGGAAGTGGGGAATTCAGGTTCTGTGAGGCATTCAGTCCCCAGTGGTCCACTTTCTTGTTTGATATGAAAGTCCTCACTTAAATTTCTGCAGGCTGTTGAGCAGCTCTGAGATGGGAATGGCCAGTTCCTCCTTAACATAGACTGAATTGTTGCCATTACATTCATTAATACCATACATTGGTGAGGGTCTCTTGTCCTGCCCTCCCATGTGTCTTTATGACTGTGCAAACAGGTCTTCCTTGCTTACTCCCCACTGCCTTGGCTATGCCATTAGCAAAGTCGTACTGAGATCAGTTCCAATAAGAAATGGCCCAGAGAACTAATCCAGAGAAATGTTTCTAAGAATTTCCAAATATACTCGCATAAAGCCGAGCAACATGAACAAACTCATTTTTTGACATCATTACAAGGAGGAAAGCGGCCAGAAGGATCTGGATTGTAGTCATGTATCTATTGGTATATGGTAGTGTCAGAAAAGAAGAAAAATAGGCCTCCAGAAAATACCGTAGCAGGGTTTACAAATCTAACTGATGGCAAGTCTCCAATAGGAGATGTGTAAATGGTGGAGTGGTAGAAAGCAGGCTATTATAGACTACCAATTAATATCTTCATGAGTGAACAACAAAAAGATACAGAGTAAGTCATAATTCTCCCTCAAAAATAAAGCTCAAAACAGCTAGCAAATAGAAGAGGACAGAACCAAACCCAAACGTAATCTGGAAAAATTAGAAAAGTCTGTTCAATAAAATGAATTTCAACACCATTGAAACCTGTAAAGTCCCAGGCAGGAGCAGAGAAAGCAAACAGGGCAGCGGCACATCAGGAGCTTTCTTGAAAAGACCTTGTAAATTTTAAATTTTGAATATGCAGTGCAGTTCAAGAAGAAATAGATGGCTCATCTTTGTGAGCGATCCCATGTAAATCAGGTAGGTAAGAATGAACAGTCCTGTACCAA